GACTTCATGAGGCTTTGAGGGGACGTCTAGACACAAACCATAGTGGTAATACAACAAAAAGGTAGCTTATCTATATGCTAATAACATGGGAGTCACAATGCTTCCAATGATACTGCAAGTAAGAATCATTTCTAATGGATACTTTAGGTAGCTTTTTTTGTTGTGGCTAGGAATTCAATCCAGGTTCTTTTTTTTTTTTTGTTTGTTTTTTCTCCGGTACCGGGAACCGAACTCACGACGTTGCGCTTGCCAGGCAGGCGCTTTTGCCGCTGAGCTAAATACCCAGCCCCTCAATCCAGGTTCTTTATATGCTGAGCATATGTTTCCATTACTAAGCTTTACCTTGAGCGCATAGATAGGAACTCATTAATCATAATAACTATTGAATGGATATAAATACTATGCGTATCTACCTTTGACCAATTTAAGCACGTTCAGAAGAACTACTATCAGCAAACATAATTCTCACTCTTACCCTCCTCATGTGGTTAATCTCCAGTCTTCTTTTTTTTCTTTTTTTTTTTTTTTTCCGGTACTGGAAATCGAACTCATGACCTTGCGCTTGCCAGGCAGGCACTGTGCCGCTGAGCTAAATCCCCAGCACCCAATATCCCCTCTTCTAGTTAGTCCTTCTGTTGTACATTTGTTTAGTTTTCTACCTTTGAGGCACTTTGAGCTGGTTGCTGTGGTAGAGGCAAATCTGAACGTCATGGCAATCAATATAGCGCATGTGAATATGTCATACTGTGAGCACAAAGACAGTATTATCACTTACCAAGTAACAGAAGGGAAAGACAGAAGATAGACAGGATGATGGTAGAGTTCGGAGTATTTCCTATAGCCATTTGAGCAAACTGGCACTGCCAGTTATACTCCGAATTATGAACTCCAGCTGCCAGATGAATTTCAACTGATTTAATCAGTTTTACTCAATCAGTTGACTTTCACACAATTTGAGCTAAGAAAGAAAGCATACAGGGAGTAAATTTATAAGAATTTATTTTTGATAATTTGTAAAAGTTACATTTTAGTGTTATATTCTTCCAAAATGCATTAGAGTTTACCATGTCATTTTAGATTAAACTTAAGATTTAAGCTCATATTTCAGTGAACTGTAAAAACAATATGGCTGTATGAGTCTATTCCATCTTTCCTCCTCTTGTTCTGTTATAATTATATACATCATTTGTATATATGCTATGGAACTGACAGTGTATTGCTACTAATACAGAGAATGTATTGTCTATTATGGAAGGCTGAGGAAAGATATGAGAACAAAGAAATAATTATTGTTTTCCAATGTGTAAATTTCCTGATTATTTTCATTTCTCCCTTATTCCTGCTCTCACTTACAACCCTTGAATTCATATATGTTTTAAGTTACAGTACAACTGTAACTTTTTGAGACAGGGTCTCACTATGCAGTTCAGGCTGGCCTTGAGTTCATTTTGTAGCCCAGGCTGGTCTTAAACTCCCAATGATCCTCCTGCCTCAGCCTCCCAAGTGCTGGGATTACAGGGGTGCACCACCAAGCCCAGCTGTATATCTTTTTGTATATTTGCATTCATAGAGTATGTTGTAACTCCTGAAATCTCTACATCAGTGATTTTTTTTAGATTGATTAAAATTTCCTATAAATATATTTGATTTTAAAGAACTTTCTTTAGTATTCCTTGTAAAACTCTTCTAAAGCTATAAGAATTTCCTCAGGTAGAGTTTATCAGGAATATCTTTAATTTACTTCATTTTTGAAAAAAGTTTTGCTAGATTTAAGATTTTTGTTTCATAGATTTTTTTCCTCAGCACTTTGAATGCATCACATCCTTCCACTACTGTCTGATTCCATTTGTCCTAATAGGACATCAGCTTCACATATTATTGAGTTTCACTTGTAGATGATAAGCAATTTTATTTTATTTATTTTTTATTTATTTATTTTTTGTTTTTGTTTTTCTCCAGTACTGGGAACCGAACTCACGACCTTTCACTTGCCAGGCAGGCGCTTTTGCCACTGAGCTAAATCCCCAGCCCCAGCAATCTTATTCTTGCTGCTATCAAGAGTTTCTTTGTCTTTGACTATCTGTTTTTACTCTAATGTGTCTTGGTACAGACTTCCTCGTACATTTCAATCTGGAGTTTGTTGAGCTGTTTGGATGTGCATATTAATATGTATCAGTAAATTTATACAGTTTCAATTGTTTACTTGAATATTTCTCAATTCTGTTCCTTTTTTCTTGTTTCTGGTGCTTCTATTATGCTATATTGGTGCACATAAAATGTTCCTAACTTCAATAAGGTTTTTTATTTATCTTCATTCCATTTTTACTTACTCTTCATATACCAAAATTCCTATAGCTCCTAGACTTTGACAAGTATTTTTTCTTCAAGTTCAAAACAATTGTTGAACTCTTCTCGGGTTGTTTAAATTTAGAGTGTAATTTTAAGCTGCAGAATTTCCCTTTATGACTTTTTATTATTTGTAACTTTTTATTAGAATTTTGTGTGTGATGAAAATGGCAAGACTGTTTTTGTCTCTTTCCCTGATATCTCTATTAATAAATGTTTAATTTAGTATTCCATCCCACATGTTAAAATGTTAATTGACAATTGATTACTTTATATTTTTAAATAATTTCCTGCCATCAAAATTGGTCACCATTCAGATCTAATTAAATCCAGGTAAAGTTCATTTTGATGGTTACTCAGAGAACTTTTTATCTCAGCAGAGCTACCCTTCACTATTTATTTTCTTTTTTACCTCTGATAAACCAGATGGTATATGGTTTAGATGTATCAGTAGTTGAGTGGGTAAAAGAAACGTGGTATTTATGCACAATGGAGAGCTACTCTGCCATAAAGAAAGATAAATCTGAGTCATTTGTATGAAAGTGGATTACCTTGAGATCAGAAAGTTATGTGTAGTAGGTCAAATGCAACAGTTTTAATATCACTTAGTTCTCTTATATGACAAACTCAAATTATACATGAAGAACAAAGTAAAAGATAGATTAGAGGAAGAAGGAAGATAGATCTTTCTTTACAGGGAGAAGAGAGTCAAGAGATAGAGGGAGTGGAGTGAAGGGGGGTGAGAAAATTGATCACGGTGTGTGATGCCCACATGTCAACTCCATACAAGGACTGCAAGCACTGGGTACTGCACACAGGTACTAGCAAAAAATAAAAAGACAACATACTTCTAAGCACGCCTTTAAGAGTGAATTTCCCCACACTTTAAAATAAAGTAAGTTGCTTTGAGGACAGTTTCAGGGCACTCTCTTTTTGGGGATTTAATCTCTTGGAAAAGTCTCTGCACGAGTCTATGTGCTGGAAGTAATTCACGCATCTTGCCTCTCCCAGGATGAAGCTTCTGTTCTGTGAACAAGCTGTTGCCAGGGCACCAGTATTTGTGGCTCCCATGCCTAGTGCAGCATATTCATCCATATGGAGGGCTGGATAGTGGAAAGTCGTTCCCAGCTTCGAGGATATGCTCATTAGATCCTTATTCTCTTTAACTTTTGCTGGGAAGAGATGAAAAATATTGGTTCTTGGGCCCTCCCCAGGAGTTACAGATGACTGTGCTTGACTGACATCTGAGGAGAAGTGAAACACTGAATATTTAATTTTTACACATATTCTCAGTTAGCTGAATATTTCATTAGACAAGACAGTGTTCTTGTCAGTAACGTGAGATAAATGAAGTGTATCCATAAAAGCTACTCAATTTTAAAATGCACTAATTCTATTACCCTCTATTAAAAAGCAAAATCAAATAAAAAACATTGTAACTTTCTAACCTAGTTTGCTCCTGTTAGTCGGGGGAGTCACATATTTACCAATCTCACTTATAAGATGAACAACAGATCCTCAGACATTCATGACTTAGTTTGCATCATGATTTTCACACTACAGCACCTTTCACTGATGGTCTTCACTCTCACTCCACAGCCCACAGAGTCAGTTTCTTTCTCAACACTTTAGGATATTTCCTAATCTTTACCAATATTGTTATTATAATAATATCTATTATTCTTTTCATTCTGGAGGGTTTCAAGTAATTTGAGAAGATTAAGCACTTTCATTTAAGTTGTATCTTGGGTGTATGTGGATAACACATCGACAAAATAACTCCAGAGAGTTAAGCAGGAAATAGATAATGTTAAGCTTTACATACTGTGCTATAGATTTTTCATCTTCCTCAGCAGTCAACCAAAACCTGGTTGATTGATGATGAAAGATAATGGAGATCACATTTCCATTCTTGTTGTTCTTATTAGTTTTAGAAAAGTTAGCTTGGAAAATTCTGAGTGACAAGCATCTAGACTAGTTAGGCGGGTGCAATGATAGTCCAGATGCAAGATTGACCAAGGTAAGGCAGAGCCAGTGGAGATGAAGATGAAACAGGTGAGCTAGATACAAAAGTGACAAAGAAGATAAAAGTAGCAAGATTTGCCACCAATCTATAAGCATATTGAAAGTAATAACAATTTTTGTCAAATCCAAGATGTACACATACACTATATGATTTCATTGATAGTAATATGAAAACTTACAGATTTTGAGGGAAATTTAATACTTTCAGTTTTGAAACACCCATGAAATATCAATTAATCGTGTCTAGTAGATTGTTGACCACAGAGGTCACCAGCAAGATATGTGCTATAGCTGTATATTTAAAGATTATTAACACATAGAAATGCATAAAATCATGAAAGTGGAAGAAAAAATCACAGTTTTAAAGTATGAAATCTGAAAGGATACAATTCTTTGGAATAAGAATTTTTAAGGAGTGTGTTGGTGAATTTTCCCATGGTTTGGACAGACTATCTGACACCCACAATTTAAAAGATGAAAATTTTAAGTTAGCTCATGGTTTCAGGGTATGCAGTCCATGGTTGTCACTCTCCAAGGCAGAAGCATCACAATGGAAGGTGTGGTGGGCAAAAGTTGCTCACTTATTTGTGGCCAGAAACAAAGTAAACAGAAGAGTGCAAGCCAGAAGCTAGGCCTAGTGGCTCACCTTCTCCAAACTGGCACCAACTCCTGTCGACACGTACAGCAGTGATTATCAGAGGGTTAATCCACTAATAAGTGTAAGGCCCCAGGATCCTATCAACTTTACCAAGTTTATGAATCTCATCAAGTGGACAGTAATTTTAACTGATATAAGGTTTATGAAAAAGAGGACTCCTTTAGGAAATGTGCCTACCTAATTTGTTTTCTTTCTTTCTTTCTTTCTTTCTTTCTTTCTTTCTTTCTTTCTTTCTTTCTTTCCTTTCTTTCTTTCTTTCTTTCTTTTTTCTTTCTTTTTTTTTTTTTTTTTGAGACGGGGTCTTGTTATGTAGTTCAGGCTAGCTTTTAAGTCACTATGTAGCCAAGACTGGCTTTGAACTAATGGCAATCATCCTGCCTCAGTCTCCAGAGTGCGAGGATTACAGGCATGCAGCACTGTGACCAGCTTCCTTTTCTCTTAAATTATATAATTTGAAATAATTAAAAGCTCATCAACTGTATTTCTGAGTTTGATTTGATGTAGAGAATCTAGTGATATATACTCATGCAAGAAAATAGTAAGAACATAGTATGAAAACTGTCCACATTTCATTAGAGGAACAACTTCTAAGGTATTCTTTAAATGCATGCTTTTATCTGCAATGAAATAGTAGATGCCCTAAAAGCTGTTTCTCAGTGAATTAGCTCACAGTCTAACGCACTTGCTAAGATTCCAATTCACGAATGTCTGAACCAATTTTCCTAGGCAAATTAAAGCATATGTTCTCCTTCATTTCTGATCAGTTATTGAATCATTGAAGATTTACATTCTGTTTATGTTTTTTACCAGGGGTTTTACATGTGGAGAGTATCTAGCCAGGAGATTGTATAAATCACTATGTGAGGCCATATAATTATGTAGACCAGCCTTTTTATGTTTTCCAATCAACCATTTTTAGAAAGTTCTATAAACCAAAGTTTTAAGACATTCTGTCAGTGCACTTTACCCCTGCAGTGTGTGAAATTTCTTCCTTGAATTATCAGCTTATTCATGTCAGTTTACAAATCTTTTACATTATTTCCCAATGTATTTCTTTATGTTCTTTATGCTCCTTTCTAGCCTGGATTCCACACAATGCCAGTGTGTCACCTGTCTTCACAAATTTAATAAGTGAGTAAAGAAAGTTTGAATCACTTGCAACTTAATCTGGCCTCTGCTCCTTCGCCCTGTCTGATCTCCAAGGAGTGTTCCATAACCGCCCAGTAGGTACAGGTGGTGTGCATGCAATATTCTCCTCAAAAACCTCTTCAAATCATTTAAATTTTGCATTGTTTTGCTTTCTTCATATTATTTCTCATGAATTCCACTACATTATTTCCTCATTAAAAATTACTAGGTGAAAAGTGGATGTGGCTAGAGACACATATGCATGCACATAGAAAATAAGCACACAGATGAGGTTTGGGTATGATGCTGGTATAGTGTCTGATAAACCCAAATCAGTAAATCTACCTGAGTTTATTTCACTGTACTCTCTGCTAGTGCTTGGGTTTGTTCTGAATAACTGAAGGTTTTGTATATAACTTTCAAAAAGAAAATTTCATTTCATCAAAGACTAAGTATTACTTAGAGAAAGTGAATGTGAATAAGAAAAGAGAAACTGATTTTTTTTTTTATCAGAGCCCTGCAGATGTTCCTATACTACCTGTCACTGGTCTCTGCTCCATTACTCTCTACTGAGATGATCTTGAAGCAGTTATTTTTAGAAAAAGATCTACATTAATCTGAAAACATTACTGTAAGTGCTTTCATTTTTCATTTAAGACTTTTACTGTCCACAGAAAACAGTGGTAATGCTGGATTCATTTACATTTTACCCCAATGATTCACTCTACAACTGCATAAAATAAATAGAACTAGTCAAATTAAAAGAAATATCATATACACACATATATAAATAATACATTGGAAAGTGTGTGCTTGTGTGTATGAAAGAGGTAAATGTTACAACATACCAAGTATTTCTATACATTTTAGTACCTTGCAGCTGTGAAAATACAGCTATAACTAATTACCATGCAAATATTTCAAATTTTACTTATGAGTATAGAATGTGCCCTTAAATCGCCAGTTTTTTTATTTAAAGCAGAACTCGACTAAGTAAAGGAAGTGTCATGTTTTGATGAACACTCTATTTGCACTAAAATACATAATATGCTCCCAGATGGAAATTTAGGAGAATTGAACTTTTAACCATAAAATAAATATACTTAAATTACTGAGACTTTGCTTTCTTCCTTTCTGAGCTGGAAGGCGTCCATAGCCAGGCTTGAATGTGAAGACCTCACAACCAGGATCAGTTTTCCACTGAGAGTTTCCTGGAAATTCTACACAGAAGAAAAACACTGCGTGCCTTATATGGCAATGCAGACTATATCCTATTCTGAACCAGATGGATTAAAGATAAAATGATGAAATATAAGTTCCTCTGTAGTGCATTTAGCAATATATCAAATAAAACTGGTAATATCTATTCATCAAATTAACTTTTGTGCTTGCAAATTATTCATTCTTGGGCAAAGTAGATTGGAAAAAAAATCAAGATCCAACTGTGGATGTTTTAAAATGAGGGACAGTTTTATGACTATTGTCATATCCTTTATCTTGCCAACATGAAGCGACGAAACCAGAGGCTAAATCCTCCCGCAATTTTTACAACCAATATCAGGAAGACAGAGGGCAAAGGGTAGTCATAACCATGAAAGCAGAAACATTACTTTCCTGTTTTAGGCCCTTAAAGGATAGGTTTTTGAAAAGTATAATTTCTCTCTGTAACCGTGAGCACCATATTGCTCAAAATTTAACAAAAGAAATTGCAGCATTTAAATGTCTCAAAATATTTTATTAATATCCTGCTTAAAATTGGAAATTTTGTTTGTAGATAATATATGCTTATGATTAAATATTTATTTCAAACGACTGTCCGATACTTTCTTTTGCATCTAGACACTGATCTATTTTTAGACCTTACTTTCTCTCACTTTCAGTTGCTAAAATGTAATCACGATGCTTATAATTCCATTCTCAAATCATAATTAGCCCATTCACACAGCGGAAGTTGTAATTCTAGAATTTTTTTTTTTTTGGCTTATCCTAATCTTCCATCGTTTTCTACCTTCTTTCTTATTTGTTTTATTAATTACATTTTTCCTTTTGTTGAACAATTTTTTTTTTAGGGAAGACTTTTATTTCAAAGAGAATACAAAATAATAAAACTCATTAGAAACCACACAGAACTTCAAAAAACAAGATGATAGGAATTCAGCAGTGATTGTTATACTGCATTTTGTTGCCTTCAAAGTAGTTGTTCAGATTACCAGATATAAGCATGCAGAATGGTCAGAAAATAAGCATTAACTCTTCCTTTCAATGAACAAATAGAAATTAGTAATATAATTTACATTATTTATGTTTTTATTTTAATGGAAAAAATTCTAGCATTATCCAAGTTATTTCCCACTGAAACACACTGTCTCTCTCAGCCTCCGCTCCCTCCCCTCCCCTTCACCGCCCCCCCCCCAAACTTTATGAAACGCCATTTCCCTTATGAAATGCGGAGCGTCCACTGCACCCTTCGATGTGATTCGGATTCACATGATGCATTTTAGCATTTTCTACTGTACCATAATCTCATGTCCAGGTGCCTTTAACAGATCTGAGTGCCTAGAACATCTCCTAAAGGGCAAGTCTCCTGCAATCTACAAGTATTACTGAGGTACAAAACAGGGATTCACTATATTGGTCAGTAGGTTGTGGAAAGAGACAGGATGAGACTGTCCTTAGGTAGGAGGACTGCAGGGCACTACGTCGGGTCTGAAAGCCCTGGGAGGAGGAAAGGGGAAGAAGTCTGTCAAATATGGCCCACATCGCATGTTTGTTTTCAGGAGGAAGGGACCATTTTAAAGTCCACAAAATACTATTTTCTTCTGGCCTATGTACCACTAATTTCATATGTGTTATCTTATTAGAGTGTGAGACTACAGGAAAACAATGAAAGTTTGATCTGGCATTGTAATATCTAGTATATGTGACAAGGAAAGTGTTGAATTAAAGACTTCCTTCTCAAGAGAAACACCGAAAAACAGCAGCAAAAAAAATGAGATTGTTGTCAGCATAATAAAACAAACAACAAAAAATACATATGCATGATAATTTCCAAGTCTACTTAATTAAGACCTTAAGTACGACTGTGTATTTTAAAAATGGAATTACAATGATCTTCAAAATGCTTCAAAATCTACATAAAACTGGCCAGATACAATGTCAACATAACAGAATAAAGAAAGATGTTAACTTAAATAAAAGCATGATATCTGACAAATTTCAATAACTATTCAAAGATATAGTCTATATTTTCATCTTCACTGGCTATTGAAACATGTATTACAGATTCTAAACTCACTTTGAATACAATTTGATCTCTGCTTATGCTAGAAATAAGAATGAATATAAACAAATTTAACATTATTTGATAGTTTTGCTGCATAAAATATAGAAATATATGTATTATGTGTATATATATGTATGTGTATATATATATATATATATATATATATATATATATATATATATATATATTTAGTTTCTAAGGTGACCTGGTAGTTTGGAATATAGTTTTGAATGGACAATAGTATGCAGTCATCACTTTGAATTTACTAACCTATCTTTTATGTTTAAATGCTGCATTAGCAGATTTTAGTAGCTATGTTTTGTATATCTTATAAATTCTATAAATATCTTATAAATCTTATAAATTCTTATAAATGTTCCTCAGAATTCAACAGTGACTTCAGGATAAAAATTTTAAAATCTTCAAAACGTTTTATTTTGGCTCTAAATCAATATATAGGTTATAAAAAATACAGTTAATATGAATTATGCAGCATATTTATCTTATTTACCTACAGTTATTAAACTGTAGAGAAAAGCATTTCAATATTTATAAAATTGTGGCCCAATAAGGATTTATCATAGCTGTAAAATTACCATGCTATTTCTATAATTGTCCTAGTCTAATGAGTTTATAATGCCAATATTGAATTTATTAGGTGAGAGGAAGAATTCAAGGCAAAGAGAATTGGGTCTTAATCTCAGCTACATTGGTGCCACTTAAATTAGTATGAGGGAAGATAGTAAAAATATCAAATTTTCCATTTCATCATTTATATAGTGAAGAATGATATGGTATAAATATGTTTATATTATCTTTATATTATCTCTCTAATCCTAAAGGTCTAAAGATTAATGTAAATTTGATATAAAAATTATTTTTAAACCTTCATTGCTGCATGGTTGTAATCTAAAATATCTAGACTGAAAAATAAATAAATCTGCCAACTGAGAAGTGGTTACATGATCTATGGGATAGTTAACATTTTTGTTACTAACTCACAAATATGTAAACTGTATATATAAAAAGAACTGTATGTAACAGCATATAAAATTCCGAACAATTTGATAGAATTGAAGACAGTTGTGTGAAAAATAAAATCACATGTACAAAGAATCAAAGATGTCTAGTGAAATTAAAAATAGCATAATAAATTATATTTGCCTTTTTGTCTTACTGTTATCTGTTCTATTATTGTTCTTATTTTATGAGTAGGAAAGTTCATTGGGGAATGAGAAACAGATATAGGAATAGTTCCTGAGAGACAAGAGGGGTCCCAAATGGGTTGCCCTATAGATCTATACTATAATATATAATATAGAGTCTTTTCAAACAAAATAAGCAATGCTATTGTGTCAATAAAAATCAGCAAAAGAATTTTTAGTGGTTTTTTTGTTTGTTTTTTAGAAAACTCTCAGTTAAGTTTATCTTTGATTGAGCTGTAAAACTAGGAAATAAAACTTTTTGAAGTGTTTAAAATCTTTAAAATTTTTATCCTGAAGTCACTGTTGAATTCCAAAAGACATAAAGATATAATAATGCTCATAAAATTGCAAAGTGGTTTTAAGAGTATGCATATTTCTTACCAGGCAAGTTTTGAGTTCACATTTGATTCTACTCAGGCCAAACTCTACTTAAGCAACTCTGAAAAGTTGCTTAAAGCTTCTACCAATGTAGGCTACCCATTGAATTTGCACTAATGTGTAAAATTTTGTGAATTTGTGAATATTTCACAAAATTCACAATAATATGAATTTGCACTAATGTGCACTAATAGAGTAAAATTCCCCATAAAATCAACTTGAATTTACTAGTAAATGTTAGTGATATTCTTATCCCATTAACTAACTTGTAAATATTGACAACTCAACAATATTACCTTGGTTTTATAGAATATAAAGGCCATTTTTTCTTATATCTGGAGGCATGGAAACCTAAAAGTTGGAATATGATTATCAACTATTCCAAAAATTATACATTTCATACAATTTTAGCAGTATTTGTCATATGACAACAGAAAAGTAGAGAGTTAAAGACAAAATAGTTTAATGAAATACTATATAAAGTACAGCCCAAGTCTTTTTGGACTGGCTTATTTATAAACTCCAAAGATGCATGATGAAGTTAAAAATCATTTAGTGCTGGGGATCTACCTCAGAAGTGGAGTGCTTGTGTAGCAAACAAGAGGCCCTGAGTTCTATCACTTCTAAAACACACACACATCAAGAACTTTTGTACGTATAGTATCTGTAGTAGTAGTCACGTAGGAAGCAATACTAACAATCTGAATAATTTCTAGAGTA